AAAGATTTTTGATTAAATCATTCAACCCCACTGAGACTCACTTCATAAAATTACTTAAGTGAGCTATTGATATTGGTTATTTATTAGTATATTGGTTATCTGTGTATTGGTTAATTATTAATATTAGTATATTGGTTATTTACTCTCCAGGTGCACAGTATTTATATTGTTAAAACACTTAACCGTACAGTATTTCATTTGTTTATTTTTTATTATTTAACTATTCACTATTATGTTATTCTTATACACTATTCTTAGGTCCACATTTGTATGACCATTTTTTTATAATCTATTTGCTGCTGTAAACTCCAGAATTTTTTCCAATGTGGGAAAATAAAGGTGTTTTCTATTCCATTCTATTCTATTCTAATGAATGATGATTAGATACAAAACAACTAGCAGAATGAGTAGAATTAGAGTTACACAACTTAATTTAAAAAGGGGGGGAAGGGGAATTCACTTGGTTTTATTTCAGCTAAAAAGAGCAACAACAAAAAATGTATTTGCTTCCAAACTTCTAATTAACTCTGAAAGTTCATTAACCAAAGTGGCCTCTAGTGTTTTCTCTGTAACATCTTAGCCTGAATTAACTGAAACCCTCCCCAGAATATGCAAATTAATACTCTTCCATCCAGAAGCTTGGAGTCGGTACCAATCAGGAAAACCTCCTCCAAAGGATGACACCAGCCAACATAAGCCTTCACCTTCACCCATAATGACCTTTATTGCCAAACAGATCTCTTTACAAAGTTGCCAGGAACTGCTCTTCCCTTTAGCGTTCCATCTACTCAACAGTCACTTCATTTTTGGAAGCGATCATGTCTGAAACAGGCAGAGAAAAATCAACAGAGTTGTTAGGTTATTGTAACTGTACTGTAACTATTAGATCAAGTCAGCATTAGAGTCCAACAGCAGGTCAAAGTAAATCAGAGCATTAATGCAACACAACATCTGCTTTCAATGTTTAGAGGGGAAAAAAATAAAAGGCCGGCAGTGTAACCTGGAGTGGATTAAAGAATATGATGGGAATTCTCTGATTATTAGTGACAAGGATGTTAAAGAAAATTAGGCATAAATAAGAGTCAGGATCTCTGCTTTAGAGGAACAGAAAATCTTCCTGCTCAGACTCACAAGTTGAGAAAGGGGGCGGTGGGATGTTAAAGCAGCTCTAAGATGTGTTTGTCTTGGCACAGCCTCCGAATGATGTCATCATTATCATCATCATGGCATTGCTGCACTTCTTTGCCTCAGAAGATGACGACAGCAGACACACAAACTTGTGCATTCAGCTCTTAGCAAAGACTTCCCTTGCTCCTGTTGCACTAAGGGCTCAGATGAACGGTCAAAGTTTGTGTTCCCAGCAAAGCCTGGTGAGCAGATGCCATCAGGACGGATCTGCGGAAACGGGACCACAAAGTATAATCCCTATGCAATTCAGGCCGCTCTCCTAAGGAGAAACCTTTCATAGCGTCTGTCTGCCAGCATTTCAGAAAGTGTTGATAACTGATCAGAGATGTTTCAGACAACAAATTTACAACACATTTTTTGATGATTCTTATTTATCAAGTTAAATCAACAGCATTAAAATCAATGTTTACCAAAAAATTCTAGAACTATGTCAAAATGTGCCAGAATTTATGGAGATTGTTCCTTACAGAATACATCATCTTCTCCAGAGCTACAAAAATTGTCAAACCACTGAAAGAGTCCATTTAGTCTTAGGTGCTTCCGACATCTTGAGATACTGGAAAGATCAGACCTGTTTAGTCAGATACAGCTCTTGGTTTCCAAACAAACAATTTCTAAGAGCACCTCTGTCAATTTCAACCTGTGCAAAGTCTTTCGGGTGTATATTCAAAGTGCACAATCTAGGAACCAAAGGTATTATAGGGGAAAAGCATTTCTTTAAGTAAGTTCAACATTATTTTCCATTATTTTTACCTTTAAGCACTCCCATATTTTATTACATAAACTATTTTCTAAACCACATTTAAATAAAAAACAAGTATCTGAGATGTGGGATTTGAAATAAAGCAGTTTTGAGGTTAGTATAATGCCTGCTAAACCATTTGGTGTAAAGGAGTCTGGGTTTCACATTAATTGTCTAGGTTTGAGCTACAGATCATGGTTTAAACCAGTCATCTTCAGATATATCTACTTGACGGTCATTCCTCCATGCCACAAGTTAGTTTAGGGAAGACTCCTTGGATGCTTCCATTAACTATTTATATTGCTAAAAGTTTTTTTGGAGCAAATGCTTGAGATTTGTGATGAAACTAACTGGCGTTCACAAGACATCTTGGCTAATAATCTGGGTAACAGCAGAAAGAGTCACAAATCCATCAAATGTATCATTCTCTATCGCGCAGCTATCAAAATTTGTAGGTGGTTGAACGACTGCAGGCAACATATTAAAGACAAATCTAAGCAGAACCACTCATCTCTGATCTATCATCATTGTGCAATAGATGGGTAAATCCTGTCCCCAGTCCACTGCAGTCTGTAAATCCGACCAAATAAAATGTGTTTTAATCATGAGGTAAACACATCTTTCTATCAAGCTGGATTAATTTACATTAACACTCGTGTTTCCGAGAGATACTGTGATTATTTTCAGATGACTTGGTTGGTTTTAAATATTTATATTATTCAAAGTGTCTCAAAGCAGTCCAAATTTCCTTTGGTCCAAAACTGTGATCTCTTAGCAGCAGAACCAAGAGAACCAAACTATTTTGAATGTGTTTCAAAATCCTATTCTCAAAAGTCCAAACATATCCAGGGTTTAAAAAGTTTCACATGTTAGGCAACATATTTGAAAGGCGGCCATTATTTTGTTGAGTGGTTATTTTGGAAAAGACACCAGAAAAAGCTAATCTTCATCTATCAAATGCTGAAGTTTTCTATGAATATTTTCCTCAATCGAATTAAAATCCAATCTTTTTAATTATGCTTTCAGGTCACAAAAGAAAACACCAATAGCCACTAACTATTGCAATTTTTATGTACTGACCAAATATGAACTTTAACTTTTACATTTCTATTAAAGAAAGACCATTATAACAAAAGCAAGCAAGATACCATCATGAAGGTGGTTCAGTTTTTCCAAACCCATACGGTGCTTTCTAATATTATTGGCAGTGTTGGTTAAAATGTCAATAGAAATACTGAAATTAGTGTTTATGGACACTTGGTGACCCCAATGTGGGATTCTGCACTGTAGTTCTCTCAGTGGTGTTTGGTGTACATGTATAGTTAAGCCAAGAAAAATCTGCCTCATCTGTCACAAAGTTTTAAAGCCGCCAGAATAAACTAACATTAAAACTTGTTGTTTTAGTTTGAAATGGTGGATATACTGTACTAGTGTCTCCATTTGGTTTAAAGGGAAATTATCACGCTTTTCTGAAAAAATGTGACAAAAGGTGGGTTGCAGATTGAAGGCTTTGCTTTACATGGGTTGTAGCTTCACATTGTTGCCTTAAAATTTTTGATGCTCTACTTTACCATTTCATGTATGAAAATAAAAGATCAGACATTTTTGTCGCAATTCTATATGTTGCAAATCAAGCCTATAGCAATTAAGCTGCTATAGGCTTAGACTGTTGGAGGACATAGAGACCACTTTTCATCATTCTGCTTCATTCTATCTCTATTCTCCCATTCTGCAGTATTTTTTAAGTTCTAATCATAGCTTGATGTCCTGTTTTATCTTGTCATTGCTTAAAAGTGATATTTACTTATTTGTATAGGGCTAATTCCCAACACATTTAATCTCAAGGTACTTTACAGAGACAATTTAACAAGATTATCCATAAGACTGGTTCAACGTTTTCTACCTAAGGAAAATCAACTGACTGCATCCAGTCATTGACTCTACAGCAATTCCTCAGTTAAAGCAGAGCTAGTCTTCTGCAGATGACAGTCAGTTATGTCATCCTATTTGATTTTGAATATTAGGAACTGATTTTTGGGGTGCAAAAGAGGAAAACCTTCTGTCAGTAGAAGTCAGTTTGTATTCCCTCCTGAGAAGGTTTTATTAAACTGATACAAGGGCAAATTAAATTGGAGTTGACTACTGCAGGAAACAGGAAGAGTGACTGTATGACAGCATGTCCTTTGTTTTATTTTGACCTCAAAAATTTCATAAAACAAACAAGAAGCTGGCAATGTTGGAACATTTCTGGAGATCTCGGAGGTAAGGTAAAGCTTAGGGCTGGGCGATTAGTCGATTTTATCGATTAATTGAATTTTCCGTTTATGAAAATGACATTTTTAGGGTTTGGGGTCCCATGGCTCAGACTATCAGTTCATCACTTTTTCTTCTTGGATATCAAACTAGCCTTACTGTGTGATACTACTAATTGTAAACATGTATTATGCTATAATATTTTCGTATTTTTTTTTAATGAAAAATTCTTCTTAAATAACCGTGTTTGATAGCTTGAGTTTCTTTGCCCTTTAAATGAATGTAATCTCCCAGAGGAGATGATTGAAATCATCATCATGAAATTTAGGGGACAATAAAAGATGTATTGATTGGATTGGTTGGGATAAAATCTGAGAATGTTTTTAAGGTCATATTGCTTAGCTCTGGTGGAGCTTTATTCTCTTTTAAAGAAATGGAATCAGGCTAACTGTTAATATGGGCTTTACTTCAACTGCCTCCTTTTACATCAACTTTCCTTAATGCTTGTAGATCTATTGTGACCAAACAGCAAAGGCAGCCCTGATGGAGCAAGTGAGGCAGCAGATAAGATGCAAAATATGAGGTTCTTTCAAACAAACCGAAGAAGTAAGTTAAAAAGAATTAAGGAGCTGTAAGCATAACTTCAAATGTTTGCATGTTTTCAAGTCAAAAGCGAAGAAGCTCTAAGTGTCAAGTAGCTTCCAAATCAAAACCACATTTCTTGACGCCTTTTTAACAACAACCATAAACAATGTTAGGAGCTGCAGTTCAGATGGTTTCAGGCATTTATGTTGAAAGAAAACACAGATGAACTCACCACTTTCGCTCTTCTCAATCACGTCCACGGTCTCGCCGGCCTTGAGGTTGATCTCAGAGTTCTCTTGCCTCTCGTAGTTGGCCACGGCCACGTACTGCTCCAGCACCATGGGCTCTGAGCCGTCAATCCCTGAGGGGAAGAAACAGGCTGTCAGCCACCTGCCGGCCGTGGCACCCCGCGAATGCCCGCTGCACCCTAAGCCCCCACCGCCGCCCCCGCCGGGCACCCGGTGTGCGGCCATCTGCCAACCCCAACTCCCTGCCGCTGCACCGCCCCGTCCAATCAGAAAACAACCTCCTAAATCGGCCGCATCGTCCCAAATGTCTGGCCATACAGCTGTTCCAGAGAAAACTACTGAGGAGCATCGGAAGGAGTCAGACCAAAAAAGGGGGAGGACAAGAACATGCCATCATCCTTCACCTATAGATCTGTGAGCGAGGCAAACTGGCCAATCCAAAAGGCAAAAGACAATCCAAAAAGGAAAATGAAAGAAAAGAGAAGAAACAGAGGAGCAACTGAAGAGTGGGGCGCGAATAAGTGGAGGAATGGTGAAGTTTCCCAGTGGAAAATCAACAGCGGTTGAGAGGAAAAGCCTCCCCTCCACCGCCTCTGGGAGCCAGCCGTTGGACGGGGAGGCTGAGGGGGGGTGAACACACCAATCATAGCAGTCAGCACTGCTGGCCTTAAATAGAAACATATGAGTGGACCAGGAGAGGGAGAGAGACCCAAGGAAAAGGAGGCTGGGTCCATGTTTGTGCGTAAGGAGAGAGGAGAGTGTTGGTCTTTGGACACTTTGTTTTCTTTACTTCTTTTTAACGTCTCAGCTTTTTTATAAGTTGTTTTTGTATCTATTTTTCTTTCTTGGTCGCATATCAAAGACGAGCTACAAAGACTCAGAACAACTCTCTGCAGTTTGTGAACAACACTATCAAAATATTTTCATTCAAATTTAACACTGCGTGTTTAAGGAATGATAAACATTTATTCCTTTAGATGGTTTGTATTACAAACACTCCAAAAATATTGTTCTGTTTGTCTCAGACTTTATACGTAAATTTGAAGCAAATATCTGAAATCCCCAAAATACCGACTAGATAGTTTCCAAAAACCTGTGCATTTCCGACTACCCTGCAACTGACTTTTAAACTTGAACAACAAAACAAAGATGGCGGACTAAATTACTTGTCATTTATTGGGAAACCCCAATGTCAACCGGACAGAACTTTGACTACCACTATATTTCAAAGAGTTGAAGCATGCAGAGAGAGGGAATCTTGACCACCGTCTTAGAAATAATCTCAGATATTCTGGGGTTTTTATGTCCTTCCTCTTTAGCTTAGTCCTCAGGGTTTCAGGATGGTTAAGGTCAAAGGATTGAGATGGTTTGTAACCTGTGATGCATGGTGTTCTCGTCTCGTTTAGACTTTTTTCTAGCCCAGGTACCCATTGCCAACCTAATTCCAATATCAGGCACAACCTAATGAGTCTATGATGCTACTCTCTTAAAACCAAAGCTTGCTGGGTGTTTGGAAAACACTGGTGAAGAATCTCAGTCATCCAGGTCATAGTCATTCCAACAAAAAACAAATCTACTGCACTTTGTTTTCAAGTTTGAAGGCATTTCGCTTCCGATCCAGGAAGCTTTTTCAATTCAAAATGTCAGGAATAGTGTTGAGTTCCAGGTTTGTACAGTACCAAACTACCAATTATACTTTCCTGAAAACAATGAAAAATTTAGTATTAAACTGATTTATATGTATTTAGGAAAACAGATACTTTTTTTTCAAATTGAGTTTTGAAAATTCGCATTCTTTTCAAATTCCCTTTTTCAGATCCCAATCTCTTCAATTCTGGTGGCGGGCTTTCCTCTAAAGTGAGAAGCATTTGTATTGGTTTGAATGGATGATAACAAAGCCTTTTCATTGGTCAATATGGGTGGGAGTTTGAATTGGTCTTAATGTGAAGAGAAAATGAACTGTAAAACATTAACAAAAAATTTAACTTGCAAAACGAAATCTAAAAAAGAAAAAATTGTAAATAGAAAATCTGTAAAAAAAAAAAAAAGTTTGAACATTTAAAATTGAATGAAATTAACTGAAAATACTTTTTTTATGACATTTGAAAAATTTTTTTGTTGTTGCAATTTTTCATTTACAAAATGTTTTCTTTGGTTGCAACAATAATGGAACCAAACTCTCTCTTTTAACTCGAGGCCAAAAAGCTGGAGGAGACATAAAAGAACATTTCCATAAATTTAGCCTGTAAATTTTTTTATGAAGTTTCCATGGGTTCATGTCAATAAGAATAAACAATTGCAAGGGATTTTTTTTTGCGTTTGCTTTCTTCTCTGGAAATGTTTTTTTTTTTGTGTGTGTGTTTTCAGAAAAAAATGCAGAACATTTAAAGTTTATAAAGCTACAACTGTTCTCCTTTTAACAGTAGCATGAAAGACGAGATCACAGCAATGCGCTGCATTAAGGAAGCCTGGGAAGTGAATAAATCAGGTTTCAGCCTTTGTTTAGTGCTTAAGACTATAATCAAGCATCTCTAAAATGTCAAGTGAGCTGGCAGGTAATAAGAAGAGGCCATAACTTTACTTCCCCACTGGGTGAGGCTCAGTCTTTCTGTTTTCTATATAAACATAAATGACTAAATACTGATAAGGCGGAGAAGCAGGAGGAAATTAAGTTAAGCTTGAGGTTAAAAAGAGGCACATGTGCAACTATTTAAACCTTTAATATTTTTATAATGATGGAAACCACGCCTTTTTCAGAAATTGCAGAGAGTCATAAAACCAGCTAACATCCCGCCTCTTTGGTCAATTTACAGGCGGATACAAATGCTCCCTCCAAGCTGTAAATGACTGCTTTTATGAGAGCGTTGAAGTGAGAGTTTATTGTTCTAGGGTAGTTTAGATGCCCAACTCTCTCTGAATAATGCATAATGTATGCATGCCAGCATGCTCTTATGATCTCCAGATCAGGACATACCTGGATTAAGCGAGATTAAACATAAACAGCATGCAGTTTGCCAAACTCTGTTAGGTTTTGCAGAAATTCATAAACACACAGCTGGTTTGCAGTACATAGCTTCAGGTGCAGAGAGGTAAATATACAACAGGGGAAGAGTGGATAAAGAGGGGACCAACTTCCAGGGGAATATTCCAACTAATAAATCTCATTTTCAGGGATTTAAACATAGCTAAGAGTTATAATGGAGGGGGAAATGGCAGGAACAAAGGGGGTCATGATACATTTGCATGCGGGACCATGCTTTGCAATGTAAATGGTAAAAAAAAAAAAAAATCATCCAAACAGCAGTCCATGTGAGCACAATGCTGATAACACTGTTTTAATAAGGGGAGAGCGGAGACCGTTACACAGTTTTTACTTCCCCCTCAATTTCACACAGGCTAAAATATAAGAATGACTACATTTTAATATATTAAATCGAATGGAGATTTACAAATTCTGCAACTATCCCTACATGTCCCCATGGAGGCAGTTGCAGCAGTTGCATGATTTCACAGCAAATTGAAAAGGTCCTGCAAACTCAACACTTAGACTAGCAATCTCGACACTTGCACACAACAACAGCACAAGGCACATGCAAAGAAAAATTGCTGCAAGTGGCAAAAACAACTGCAAGTTAAGAAAAATGCAAATAGAGAAAATAAATATATCTTTGCAGCAGGTTTTGTGTTTGCATACTGTTCCCACTTTGCTGCTCTGTTTTCTGTCACTGCACCCTTTCTTAACATGCAGTACTTATCCATCGCCTGTGTTTTTGTGTTAGCATCATTTCTGTCTTTGCTAGGCCATAGTTTTAAGTTTGCTGTTTTAATTTTTGAGTTTGCAGGACCTTTTTCATTTGCTGTGAAAAAATTTAGTTAAACAGCCTTTCAAGCTTGGAAACCATGGTAAATGAGCCAAGGTAAACGTTGCTAACAATACATCCTAGGGATGGAACGGTTAATGAAAACTGTCCGAACCGTTCGGTTCGACTGTCTCGGTTCGATTCGCGTGCGTTTCGTTCGGTTCATGCCCTGCTCCTTTTTCTCATAGGCGAAGCTTTTACACTCCAGAGCAGAAGGTGGCGGTACTGCGACCAAAGCCAACCACCAGTAGTAAACGAGAAGAAGAAGAAGAAAAAATTTTTAAATGGAGAAT